AGTGATAGGTATCAAGATACTAGCTCTGGTTACTACTTGCAAAGTAAAGGGTTATGATGGTGAATCACTTTCATGTACATCAAAGACTGAAAGATGAAAAGGATGGACTTTCTGCATTAGCACCTCCTAGGTGACAACTTCTTGAAACGTAATTTTTAGGTAAACATTTTAAGCATCCCAGAAGATGGCGCCATAATACATGTTTTTGCACTAGAGCCGCCACATTGACTAACAGTGCTTCCCTATATATCGACATCGGTTAGTTGCACAAATACAATGCAGCTTTACTGAATCCATCCTAAACATTTTTCTCCTTAAGGTACAATTTTAATCACATATACTCTAAACAAGGATGTCCTGTGTTGAGGGAAAGGTTATCCAATTTCTTTTAAATCCATATCAAATGTGAAGGAAAGCTCCCTGGTATTGGAAATAAAGAAAATCTTTAATGCTTTAATTTTATGATATTACATTATGTGCTTTTTATTTGAAAAGCCATAAATGGATAATTGATTCTAGAAATGGTACTGCTGTAAGATGCCATTTAACTTTTAAATTATATTTAGCTAATTTTTGATATCCTAGGCAAGCTATATATATATTATTAAGTTAAACTTTGTATATTTGGCAAATCTTACTAGCAGCGCCTGGCGTTGTACGTTGCCAAAATGAGAGAGTTAATGGTGTGAGTTTAAGCAGCACTAAGGATCTCAAGAAACATAGTTAATAAGTAAACAAAATAACCTGGAGAAAGAGCCTTATCATTTTGTTTAAAGTCTGGCTTTAAACATTGTAATATCCCTTTAGTTTATGGACAGCAAATAATTGTACATCATCTTGTGTGCATTTCATCACACCATGAGTTACTGTATAACTTTTCAATCAGAAACCTTTAAACCTTAAACAGCAGCTGTAAAGGAGCAACTACTACTTAGTAGCTCCTGTGAAGGGTTTAATCAGTCGGTTATCTTAAATTTTGCTTATCCAACTGTTATAGATTGGGCTTTGCATTATTGCGCTGATTTAAAATGGAAGTTCTCAAGTGTGAATCCACTGCTAATCCTAATTGTTCTCTTCCTTCTCCCCCTCCTCAAACAATAAATTAGGCAACCCTGTTTCATAAAAAGTACAATAACAAGTCCAGAATCCACAAAACAGTGATACCTTTGTTGTTGTGTGTGCCTTCAAGTCATTATTTGTATAAACGTTTCTACAAATTCAAAAGAAACGGGGAAAATTTTTAGCAAAAAATATCATACAATGAAATAATCATGATCATAAATCTCTTTAATTAAATATGTACACATTGCATGGTATAATTTTTTTTAATGAAAGAACTGGTTAAAGTTTTGAAGCAAATGGCTTATGGTGACCCCTAACATGAATATCGGGTTTTCTTGGCAAGTTTCTTCAGAGGGAGTTTGCCATTGGGACAATCAACATGCACAAAATACATGATTTTGGTTGGTCCAATAAAAGTATCACTATTTTGTGGATTTTGGAGGTTCTCGTACTTTGCTATATGGCCAACACAGCTACTAACCCCAAATACATTTCCTGTTTCATAAAACTAGATGTAGATAGGTTTAAAGTTGCCTCTTTAAAACTGCTACCCTGTACACACTTATCAGAGCATGAAATCCCACTGAAAACTGTGGGGTTTTCGACAGAATAGAGACAAACATGATTGTGCAGGGTCTTTTTGCCCCACTATGTTTTAAGACAAGCATAGGGCTATGGCCAAACAAGCTCTTTCCAGGATTCCCACAACAGTTTTATCTATTAAGAAGGGCGCTACTTTGAGGTCAGAGGCTTTTTGCTGTGCAAGTTTACAAATACAAAGTTAAATGCAAGGTTCCTGTCCCTTTCCTCCATGAAGGAGCTCATATCAAAGAGTGCAAATGCCAGATGGTCTCGCTCCTTTAGGAAATTTTTGCAGCCTATATCCCCACTTGTCATGTCCTCCTCAGTTGGCTTCGCTCCCACCAAAGTCCAAACTCCACCAAGTCCATTGTGGCTGCATTCGCACTGCAAAAATAATCCAGTTTGGCACACTTTAATTGCCATGGCTCAATGCTATGGAATTCTGGGAGCTATAGTTTGTTATGCCCCAGAACTCTCTGACAGAGCAGGCTAAGGGCCGATGCAGACGGCCCAAAAGGGGTGGCACAGAGCCGCCCTGGGAGTGGCAAATTGGGGCCATGGCAACCACATGCCGCAGTCCCGATCCTCCTTTTTGCCCCCTCAAAAGAGTAGCAAAATGCTGCTCCGTTTTGGGGGTGCAAAAGGCCACCCTTAGAGCCAGCACCGTGACTCTTTTGTGCCCTTTAGGTGCAGCGTGTGCACACATCGTGCCAGGAGGGCGTCCTTGCGCTGTGCGGTAATAGGAGGGCGTTGGGGCAGCTGGCGCGCAGCTGCCCCGCCCCAACTCCACCCCCAGGCTGGCCCTAAATGTCCCGAAAAACTACAGATCCCAGAATTCCATGGCATGGAGCCATGGCAGTTAAAGCGGTGTCAAACTGGATTGTGGAAGCATCCAAGGATAGCTGAAGCTTTGTTCTGGTTATTGTCCAGTTCCAAAACTCACATTGGGAGTGTGCACTTGTGTGTGTGTGTGGGGGGGGCGCGCTAACTTTTCGTGAATTTAATTTGTCCCTCCGGACTACAGCCTTGCGTGGGGCCTTTGGTGGCCGCTGCCTCAAGGTCTGCATCCACACTGCAGAAATAATCCAGTTTGACACCACTAAATGCGGTGGCTCGATACTATGGAATTCTGGGAACTGTAGTTTTGTGAGACATTTAGCCTTCTCTGTTCGAGAACTTTGGTACAATGGTAAACTATCATTCCTAGAATTCCATAGCACTGAGCCATGGCAGTTAAAGTGGTGCCAAACTGGATTATTTCTGCAGTGCAGATGTAGTCAGAGTGACCCTTCCCTTGCTTTTCCTTGGTGCCACTTAAGCCATGGAGCTGGGTTGCTGGAACAACACCTTTCCATTGCCCAGAGCCAGTCCTTTCTCACCATGGGAGACGCGAGTCTGTGACTCTGGAGACCAAGGAAACCCTCTTGGTGACCTTGGCAAGTCACACACTCTCAGCCTCAGGGAAAGGCAATGGCCAAACCCCCTCTGAACAAATCTTGCCAAGAAAACCTCCATGACAGATTCACCTTAAGAGTCACAAGGAATAATCCAGGTTGACACCGCTTTAACTGCCATGGCTCCATGCTATAGAATTCTGGGATTTGTCATTTTGTGAGACATTCAGCCTTCCTGGTCAGAGAGCTGTGGTGCACCACCAAACCACAAATCCCAGGATTCCACAGGATGGAGCCATGACAAAGTGGTGTCAAACTGGGTTATATCTGCAGTGCAGACACAGCAAAACGACTTGAAGGCACACAGGGATCTTGCAACGTCTTTGAGCCTAACTCAGGGAACTCCCTTGACAGGAAGCTCCTAGGACACAAAGTTAAGCCTCAAAAGTGCTCCAAGATCTCTTTGCCTACTGACTTTTTCCAGAGTAACATGGCTGTGTCTTTGAATTCAACAACCATAACCATGAGTTAGGCTGAACCTGCACTGCAGAAATAATGCAGTTTGACACCGTCATGGCTCCATGCTGTGGCCTCCTGGGATTTGTAGTTTGTTGTGACCTCAGAGAAACCTAAATATCTCACACAACAACAAAACCCAGAATTACATAGCATGAAACCAAGGCAATTAAAGTGGTGTGAAACGGCATTATTTCTGCAGTGCAATTCAGCCTTAGAACACACCAAGGGGCTACCTGTAAATCCCACCAAACCCTTTATTTTACTTCACATAGTCATGCAAAATGTCTCCGCACAGCTCTTTGGGGTACAATTCCTGATAAGCCACCGGCTTGGGTCCAAATTAGTCAAGAGAGAGCCATGAGGTGAGGAAGACAGTAATGTGGGCTGAGAGGAGAAACAGAGAGAAAGGAAGGGTGACCAGACATCCTCCTTTTCCAGGACAGGTCCTCCATTTAAACCTTCTGTTCAGGAGGAACTTCACGTCTCCCATTTTGAGCAGGATTAAGAAGTGCAGATTTATATTTCTAGGAGTGCTTTGAGTTTTTGATTTGGTCATGCCCTCCATTTTTCCTTGAATGCCCTACATTTTGTGGTGCCTTGTCCCTCCCTGGCAGTTAGGAGAATCTGGTCACCCTGAGCTGAATGAAACATGTTTCCGGGAGTGCTGTTAAGATGGGAGAGACCCAGTTTCCCTCAGCTCAGGGTGACCAGATGTCCTCCTTTTCCAGGACACACCCTCCATTTCAATCTCTCCAGGAGGAATTTCACAATGTCCTCCATTTTGAGCCACAGCATGAATTCACGTTTCTAGGAGTGTGCTTAACTTTTTATTTTAGTTGTGCCCTCCGTTTTTATTGAATGCCCTACATCTTGTGGTGCCTCTGGTCACCCTGAATAAAACATATTTCAGGGAACGCTGCTAGTCTGCTAGAGAGCCAGTTTTCCTCAGCTCAGGGTAATCAGGGGTCCTCCTTTTCCCAGGACATGCCTCTGAGTTCAACCTTATTTCCAGAAGAAATTTCAACATGTCCTCCATTTTTGAATCTAAGAAGCATGGAAGCATGCATGGCAGGGGGGTTGGACTAGATGGCCCTTGAGGTCTCTTCCAACTCTGATATTTCTAGGAGTGTTCTGAACTTTTATTGGGTCATGTCCTCAATTTTTCCCCCTTCAATGTACTACATATTGTGGTGCCTTGTCCTTAGCCTTTCCCCTCTACACAGGCAAGAGCGGGGCAGAGCTAGGCCAGAAAGGGAAGGCCTTTCCTCCTCAGTCTCCTTCGCCATCTCCATTTTGCAAAGTTAACACGTTGTTGTTGTGGGCTTTCAGTAGTTTCCGACTCAGGGCAACACCATCATGGGGTTTTCTTAGCAGGTTTCTTCAGAGGGGTTTGCCAATGCCATCCTCTGAGGCTTGAGAGAGTGCGACTTGCCCAGGGTCATATGGCCAAGCTGGGATTCGAACCCTGGTCTCCAGAGTCCTAGTCCAGCACTCAAACCACTACTCTCATGGTGTCAACGTTAACATATCCCTATAGAAATGTCCCACCATTTGCACAGGGAAAGAAACCACTAAACATCCAGCCTTGTTTTGACTCCATGTCCTACTTTTCCAGGACCTGTCCTCCTTTTCAACCTTCTCTCCAGGAAAATGTCCTCCATCTGGAGCCTGACTCAGAAGCATTCAATTTGGGGACTTTCAATGCTAAAAATGTCTTCATTATAGGAAAATCACACCTGGAGAGCATCTAGTCTGACCCCACCTAAAAGGAACTTGGGAAATTTGGTTTGAACTTTTAAATAAGTCATGGAATTACTCCTGTGGTCTCATAATACAGCCTACACAGGGTGACCAGATGTTTTCCAGGACATGTCTTCCATCCAACCTTCTGTCCTGGAGGAATTCTACAATGTCCTCCATTTTGAGCAGGACTAAGAAGCATTTATATTTCTAGGAGGGTTTTGAGCTTTTCTTTGGTAACACTTTAACTTATAACCCTCAATGCTATGCAATTATGGAAACTAATTTTGTGAGACACTTTAGCCTTCTCTGTCAGAGAGCTCTGTTGCTCTGCCAAACTACAATTCCCAGAATCCCATAGCATTGAGCCCTGGCAGTTAAAACTAGTGTCACACTGGATTATATCTGCAGTGCGGATGCAGACTAGGCTATCCATGGACAATATTAAATGCTATATTCCCCCTGTGAATATTAAAAAGGTTCTTGTTGCAGCACTTTGGAGACTAAATGAAAGAAAGAAGCTAGGAGCAGGGGCTTTCCTAGACTGGAGCCTACCTCTTCCTCCTATAAATAGGAGTCTGAAAAGGGAGTCTAACTAATCTCCAGAATGCAAAGATACAGCCATGTTAGTCTGTAGAATCAGTATGCAGAGAGATCCCGTAGCACCTTTGAGACTAACTGAAAGAAAGGAGTTGGCATGAGCTTTCATAGACTTAAAGTCTACTTCCTCAGGTGCATTTATCTCCCGAGTCTGAGTCCAATGCTCAAACCACTTACACCAGGCTGATTTGTATGGCACTGCATACTCCAGGTTTGCACCACACTCAAGAATCAGCATGCAAAGAGATCTTGTGTACTACCTTTTGAGACTAACTGAAAACTAACTGAAATCTGTTAGCATGAGCTTTTCTAAAGGAGCTCATGCATCTGAGGAAGTAGGCTGAAGTCTACAAAAGTTCATACTGCCACCTTCTTTCTTTCAGTGGAGTCTCAAAGGTGCTACGCAAGATCCTTTTGCATGCTGATTTTCCAGATTAACATGGCTGTCTTTGAATAGTCAAGCATATTTGCCCGGGAATTCCAGTGCTGAGAAGACCAGGAAAGCAATAATAATAATAATAATAATAATAATAATAATAATAATAATAATAATAATAATCCCACTTTTCCCCCACAGCTGGGACCCAGAGGCTCACAATATTAAAACAGTACAATTAAAAACAAAGAGATACATTAAAATAGAATTACAATAATAAAACAGATTGCTTGTATGTATGTATGTGTGTGTGTATTCATCTGAGGCTCAAGTCTAGGAAAGCCCCTAGTAGTCCCATGTTCTTTCCTTCACTTAGCTCCAAAACACACTGCAGAAATCATCCAGTCTGAGACCGTTTTAACTACCCTGGCTCAGTGGCTAGGGGAATCCTGGGAACTGTAGTTTTTAATGAGAGACACTGAACCACCTCTATCAGAAAGCTCTGGTGGCACAATAAAATAACACTTCCCAGGATTCCCCTAGCACTGAGCCAGGGCAGTTGCAGCGGTCTCAGACTGGATGATTTCTGCAGTGGATCTTGGACCTTAAAAGTCTGAAAAAGGGGCTGCAAGACAAGATCTTTTGGCAGCAACCTCCCCAAAATAAACCCCTGTGGACGCTTCCCTTGCAAGGTGCCTTGAACTCCGGGGGTTTTCTTTTGCCCTCTTCTTCTCCTCCTCTGAAAGAAACGACCAATTTTGCAGCCTGGGCCCAACTTTTGCTTTTGCAGAAGTGAGTGGAACCTCGCTGGGCGTTTCCTGAGCACATGGCATTTATGGCCAGCCTTGTGCAAATAATGCACTCTTCCTTTCTTCCCCCCCCCCTTTTTTTTTTATTAAGCCGTTTGCATTTGGACTACTATGCCTGAGATGCACTGACCTCAGCCTTGCTCAGTCTATTTGTTGGAGAGCAACTTTTAGGAAGGGGGAATTCCCTGCTTCGAAGACACTTTTAGAAGGGAAACAGTGCTCTCTGCATCCGCACTGGAGCAATAATCCGGTTGGAGGCCACTTTTTAACCGCCCTGGCTCAATGCTATGGTATTCTGGGAGCGGTAGTTTGTTGTGGCACCTCTGGTTGCCAAGGGATGTATATAGTAGGACCTTTGAGACTAACTGAAACCTTGACCTTTCAAAGTGTCTCAGATCCCTTTGCATACTGATTTTTCCAGACTAACAAGGCTAGAGCATGAGTTTTCCTAGACTTCAGCTTCCTTTCCTCAGATCCATGTTAGTCAAGATCCCTTTGCATACTTTATTTTAGCCTCAGAGGTGCTACAACCCCTTGCATACTTTCAGGTAGTTTGGAAAGCTATCTCTGATGCCACAACACACTACCACTCCCAGAATTCCATAGCACTGAGTCAAGGCAGTTAAAAAAGTGGCCTTGAACAGGATTATTGCTCCAGTGTAGATGCAGCCTAAGAAACCTAGCTGTGTTGAAGATTTTTTTTTTTTTTTGCATTTTATCCAAATTTTATCTCCTGGACTCCTGAATGCTTTGTTCCTGGTGCCACATGGCCAGGAGGAGGGACCTGCCTCCAAAGGCATCCCTCCACACCTTTCTCAAAACACACAACCACACCTTTAACAACATCTTGACTGAATGCAAAGTTGTGACTTAACGTCCTTGTATTTTTGTTTTCTCCTGTATGAGTTTAAAGAAATAAAATAAAAACACCTTCGTCTAACGAAGAAAGCTTGCATCATGATTGCATTTTTGGTCGGCTCCCCATAAAAGGGGTTGCGGTTTTTGTGGATTTGGGGTTGTTATTGTACTTTCAGAGCCCTGTTAGTATGCAGAGAAGTCTAGTAGGACGGTTGAAAAAACCACTGTGAAAAAGAGGGACCTAGTAAGTTGGACTTTTGAAAGTCACTATGCAAAAAAGGGATCTAGTAAGACCTTTGAGACACAAAAGTATGCCAAGGGATCTATAGTGGGGCCTTTGAAACTGAAAACTTGACCTTTCAAAGTGTCTCAGATCCCTTTGCATACTGATTTTCCAGACTAACAAGGCTAGAGTATGAGCCTTCCTAGACTTCAGCTTCCTTCCTCAGATCCATGTTAGTCAAGACCCCTTTGCATACTTTCTTTTAGTCTCAAGAAGTGCTACAACCCCTTGCACACTT